AACCAAATTAATACTGCATCTTATTAACAGCGTCATCTGATGGGTAGAGAAAACTGGAAGATTACAGGTCTGAACGTCATTACATTTTATGTTTTTATCGCAATATACTATTGAAGACTTGGTATTTTTTTGCTGCTACATATGGTTGATGGATGATTTTATCCTGATATGATATTTGATCACATGATCTCTAAAGCTCTTTATTTAGTGTTTGTTTGTTTGGTTGGTTTTGGAATTTCGCGCAAAGCTACACGGGGGCTATCTGCGCTAGCCGTCCCTAATTTAGCAGCGCAAGACTAGAGGGAGGGCAGCTAGTCATCACCACCCACCGCCAACTCTTGGGCTACTCTTTTACCAACGAATAGTGGGATTGACCGTCACACTATAACGCCCCCACGGCTGAAAGGGCGAGCATGTTTGGTGGGGTGCGGATTCGAACCCGCGACCCTCAGATTGTGAGTCGAGCGCCTTATCCACCTGGCCATGCCGGGCACTTTTATTTAGTGACAATGTCTTGAATTGTCTCTCATACTCTTTAGCTAGTGACAATATCATGAGTTGTTTCTACGTAGTGGTTGTGTACGATGTAATATTAGATTATACATATCTATAATAAACACAAGGAAACATTTTATAACTTAAACGATACGTGTTCAAGAATTACAAAGTTGTATTGAGAAGTTAATCATGAACATACTCTTTATTTAGTGACAATATCATGAGTTGTTTCTACGTAGTGGTTGTGTACGATGTAATATTAGATTATACATATCTATAATAAACACAAGGAAACATTTTATAACTTAAACGATACGTGTTCAAGAATTACAAAGTTGTATTGAGAAGTTAATCATGAACATAAAACTTCTCCTTGAATTTGCTGTGGTAAGTTGTCTTCTTAGCATTGAATAATACGAAAACAATTTAGTTTATTATAATTTTCGGAGTTGGCAAGATTATTTAAGATACATGCATTCAACGCCTTAGAAATTTCAAAACGAAAAAGTTAATGCTATGTTGACATAAAAACCACCAAACTGCTCTTGGCAAACTATGGATTTGTATTGTCCATGAAAACAATACGACGACATTATGACTTTTTGGAAGGGAGTTTTATCAAAATTTTATACGCAGCTAATTGGTCATTATATAAATTAATTTCAATGACCTTAATAACATTCTACATATGTGATGCTCGAGTGGTGTAGAAGTTATGTTATGTTGAATGAAAGAAACACTGGGTTTTCCTATTAGCCATACAAACACATGT